AAATATGGTTACCGTATCATTTTGAATGCAAATCTTGTCAACACTGAGGACCAAATTTGAAGACCTTGGCAGCACATACCCATTCAAAACCCACCCGAGTACCCTCCTTGGGAGTCCATGCTTGCGAGAAGAGAGATCCCTGGATGTCCAAAGGTTGAATTTCTGTGGTGTCTACCTGGGGCTTGCATCCTGAGTGTTCTCTTCGGATATGTACTTGAGTGCCCTATTCATTCAGTGATTTTGTTACAAATAGTATATGGTGAGTCCTTGGACTCATCTAGCAAAAAATCATGAGTCCCAGTCCAGAACCACTGAGTCCCAGTTCAAACAACAAGGAGTCCAAGATTGAAAATTCACGGGCCTTTATGTAACTAGAAGTTAATCTGAAGACAGACTACAAAACTTGTTATTATAGTTAACTGAAATAATGTAGTAATAAATCATTTTGATGTAAGAAAAAAACTATTTTCTTGGGTGAACATATTCTAGGGAAAAGATATACAGTGAAACCTCTATTAAGCGGACACCTTCGGGACCTTCCCAAGTGTCCGCTTAATATAGGTTCTCCACTTAATAGAGGTTTGTAAAAATTACAAAATGCTTGTAACGATTTTCAAACGTTCAATGGTTACTCTGTACTGTGACAAGGTTCCGTGTTGTCAAGGAAACTAAAGAAGCTGTGCTGTACTTTGTGTAAGACTATAAGGTGAACTTTGATTGAGGATGACAATCATACGGCTGGATATCGGTCTAATCTACAGTTTATTGACAGCTAAATGTATTGATTTATCTTTATTTACAATTGACTACAGTACATATTTCAAGGACGTAATCCAATACTACCCTTGTCAATTCATTCTGGTGTCCGCTTAATAATAGAGGTTGGAAACAATAGACATTAGCCTTAAATACAATTTATTTTAGTGTCCGAGTCCGCTTAAACAGGTGTCTGCTGAATAGGGGTTTGTTATAAATGGAAATATAAGATGTTAATTTCAGGACCCGGCTTAGAGTCCACTTAAGGTGGCTGAACACAGTTTTGCGGGCAGTCAGCGGTAACTAGCGTGACGACGTGTGTTTTAAATTAGACAAACAAACATGGCGGCGAAAAAGCAATGGTACACAGAAGATGATTTCTCAAAATCTACTCATTAAAATTTTGTGATACTTGGAAAGTTTTTACTTTTATGGTATTTTAAATAATGAGAACTTTAAAGTGGAAGTTGAACAGACAAATTTTGTGACACATTTAATAATTACAGTTACATTATATCATTGATTATCTAAAATCCTGTCTGTTAAAATTTGGTCAAATAAGTTTCAAATGGTAATGATTAATAATATTATAGTAAGCTGTGTGCAAGTTTACAGGAAAATCTAATGAGCGACTTTTATGTAAACTAAGCAAAAGTGAAATTTTAAGGTTGTATTCAATCGTTCATGTTGCCATGGAAACTACAAAAACATCAAATTTTAGCTGTCAATGAAAATTTTTCATCAGTGTATTTTTTCACTTGCCAAGTTTCAGCTTGTGAGCTGCAACCTTTCTCTTGCCACGATTTGGCAAATGACACATACTCATAAACTGCCACAACTGTGTTCAGACACCTCAATGGAGGGTGTCCCACTTAATTGGGGGTACACTTAATAATAGAGGTTTCACTGTTTCAATGTCGTAACGAATGATAATAATAATTCATAACAAGGAAGTGAAGTTCAACTTGTTTGAGAGCTGGGCTAAGTTAGTGAGCTGTAACTAACGGATTTAATCTCTGTTTACTCTTTGTCCTTTCTCAACTCCAGTGATTTTACTTAAAATTTAAGGAAGTGCATTATTTACTAAACCCAAACTTGAAAAGCTCTGTCACAGGTACTTTCTCTGTCCTTGTTCCAAAACAGAAATATTAATTCTTTTTAATTACTAGTATACATTTCTATTAATGCAGCCCGGGACAAACATCAATTTTAATAGTTTAACAGTGGCATGATCCTAAATTTGTAAGTCTGAAAATGTGTCCGAAAAATTTTCTAGCAATTTGAATTAGAGAGTATACGTAGCTGATAATCAATTCCACATTAACCTAAACATATATATTTTCATGACCAGACGTGTACATGAAATAGTATGGGATTGAAGGTACAAGTCATTAAGGCATGTTTCTACTGAAATAATCACCATGAATGAGTACAAATAGTGACTATGACATCATCATGGGACAAAAACTGAAGAATCATGCACACGTCATTGTGGAAAAACTTTACCCTTCCTCCAACAACTGACAAACATTACATTCTGATCAAAGAATGCCAAGCAGGGAACATGTCAATAGACAGTCATGTCATACACACATGTTGTATATGTATTCCAGCTTATGAGGGGCAAGATTTTTTTGATGAGCCAACTCCTACAACTATCGACATCACTTTCCTATTTTAAAACATTAACCCAAAGCTGTCAAATTCCTGATGATGGTAAAGTCAATATTAACATAGACATTCTTGTCGTCAGTTTTTGGACTACAACTTGAGAGACTTCCTTAAAAATTATCATTCTGAGAATCCTTGACAAATGCATAGTTTGTAAAAATTCAGCTGACTCCTTTCATAGGGTTTCATGAAATAAACACAATATTTTAGCTTTGTTGAAATGATACCTGATTAATCTCACCATTTTTCTGAGACACCATACTTTCTCCATTAAGCCATTTCCATGTTCGTTTCTAGCTGTTTCTGTATTTGACCTTGAAGACTAGCTAAGCTATGATCTGACTGAGAACACAAAGATTAGTTCAAAGCTTTCGCTGCATCCAGTTGGTCCTGCAGTGCTCTGATTACTGGCTCGTAATCTTCTTCCAGAGCAGTTGTCCTTCCCCTCTCCTGGTTCAGCTGAATTTTGACATTTTCCAGTTCCTGCTCTAGCTGATATGCCAGCTCTTGTTTCTCTTTACCTTCATTTGGGAGTTTTTCAATTTTCTTACCATACAACTCTGCCTCGCGCGATGCATCCTTCAAAATTTTGTCTTTGGAATTCTCCAAGTCTGTAACAATGCAGTCATAGTAGTTAGAAATTTCTTGCTGCAATTTCTGAACTTCTTGATCTTTGTTCCTGAGCTCCAAATGAGCTTCTCTGACCTTCTTAGTAAGTCGCTCTGACTCTTCCTCCAAGTTTCTTTTGAGAATGCTATTTTCTGCTATGCTTTGAGCAAGCTGTTCTTGTAATTTCCCATTTGCAGTAGTTAACTTTTCCAGTTTTTCGGCAAAATCATCAGATTCAGCCCTAGCTTTGGTTCTGAACTCTATAAATCGATTTTTCAGCGAGTTGAACTCGTCTTCCTTAGCTTTTATCTCATTCTGCTGCTTGTCAATCATCTGTCTATCAGCGGTCATGGTGTCCAAATATTGCTTTCTCTCAACAACTAACTTCTCCTTGTTTTTCTCAACTTCAGAGGTCTGTTCAAGTTGTTCCTCAATGCGCCTATCTGAATTTTCTTGCAGAGTCATCAAATTATTCGCCCTATTTTCGACTTGCTTACGTCTGCTTTTTTCTTCTTCCAACAACTGGTTTTTCTGTGCTACAACCGACTCTAGCTGGGCCAATCTCTTCTTTCCAACTTTTACCGCAGTTGTTAATTCAACCTTTTGAGACTCGAGTCCGATAATCTTTTCATTAGCATTAGACAAATCGACTTCTATCGTTTCTTTCGATGCTTTCAATACAGCATTCTCTTCCAGCGCTCGGGCAAGTGCTTCTTCAAGCATCGCTGTTTTGTTTTTAACGAGCATTATTGACGATCCGTCGTCATCTTCAACTTCGCAACATTCCAAATCTTCCTGCTCCACTGGTTTGGTTTTAATCTGGAAAGGAACGCTAGCTCCTCTCACATCACCAGCACTAGTAACATAACAGAACTGGTAAAACTCGTCATCTTCCTTAGGCAAATACCTTTCACGGAGTAAGACTCTATTACGAATTGCTTTACCCTGCTCTCCATTTTGAACCTCGAGCATTGGCGACCATTCGTAGGTGTAATATTCCCGTGAGGACTGCCAACCAACTTTGAAAAGCCCAATCCAGTCCCGAGAGTGGGGTTTGACAGAATTCTTAATAGTGTAGCGACATTCTATCTCTCTGTCAGGAGGGTAGCACCGCGGAACACTGTTAAAAATTACAGCGGAAAACTCAGACTCTGAAGGTATCGGTGTGAACTCTGTCGAGTTGTCGTCTCTTTTATCCTCCACATTGCTCTCAGTTTCTTGCATACACTCTGCCATTTCTTTAAACTGATGTTGCTTCCTTGATGCAGAAATTTATTGGGCGATCTCGATTGGGGGAATCCCGGAAGTGAAGGCGAAAGCTATTTTGGGTAATAGTGGTCACGTGATAAAGATGATGTAAGAAGGTGAAATAAAGAGTTGCCAGATGGAGACAGAGCTGAACAACGTCTGCGCATGTGCAAAAGGGGAGAGGTCTGGGATGTAATCTAGTATCCTTTTCAAAGGGATTTTCAAAACATCCTCACATTTTGGCGATTATTAAGGTGGATTCTGAATATTCAAGGCTCCCATTTAAACTAAAGGTAGATTATCTCATACTTTATTGAATTCTCGTTTCCACCTTCGCAATTTTTCTTCCGTTTTTTGCCATGAACAAAAGAAGATGCACGGACGAAGCCGAAAACAGTTCATTCGAATGTGTACATTCTCAAGCGTAAACAGAAATGAAAGTACAGACTGTCAATATGTTATCAGTTCTAAGAAATCGTCCGGACATCATATCAGTGTCAGCATTAAAAGGTACATTTTATTTATCTTCGTTTTTCCTTGAATGATGGTCTTTTAGTTATTTCTCTTGTTATATCTCGTTTGGTTTCACTATAAAAACTGTAAGAACACAAAACAATCACTGAGGTTTCGAATTCAATCAAGTTCTTTCTTCCAAACTTGTTTCCCTTTATGACTCATTCTTAGCTCAGCTCAAAAGAGCTATTATAAATTTTTGTATATGACAACAGGCAAAATTAATGTTGAAAAGAGTAAATGCGTAAGTAATACAGTCGATGCTTGCTGGTAAAAGTATCAATAGTATCAATGACTTGAAGTTCTCTAAAAAGCTTCATTACAGGGAGAAGAACTTTCATTTATTTTTCTCTTCGAGGTCTAGATCTTCATTCCTTGATTCTTCTGCTTCATTCAATCCTGTCATAAATGGAAAACCTATAGTTAATACGAAAACTCACATAGAGCTGAGCCAACTTGTGATTGTTTCTCAAAACTTCAACAGCTTTAAACTTTAAAAGTTTATTCATTAATAAGCTTAAAGGTGCAAATTAAATTTTAAACAAACTTAACTAAATAAATACTGATTCTACAGCTCGACCAGCGCCTCTAAGCCGGCTAGAGGTACGAAAAAGCTTCTTTCATCGCACTAAGATTTGTAACTAAGTTTATGACTTTCATGACTTCTTGTGTCTGATGGTATCATCGCGCTCAAAGCCGGCTTTCTTGCCACCAAGAAACGGTCAACAACTGCTATCGCTCGGCCTACATTTCAAAGATTTGCTCCTCCCTAACCAGAATAAAGTAATGTTTAGGTAAATCGTTTATGTACCATCGAAGAAAAGTCGCCCAAACTCCAGCATTGCTCTTTTTTAATTTCTCAGTCATCTTTCTGCAAACTTACTGACGATCTGCATCAAAACAATGAAAAACCTTCGCCGGGACGGTCAAAAACATTTTCCTTGATCCCTGGATTACGTAACATTTCTTTCCATGAGTTGCATTTCTAACGTATTCGTAGAACTTCTCCTTCTTTGGCATTCACAAATATGAGTTTAGATGGTCGAAGATAAAATGGTTTCAGATGCAAGAATTCCACTTTGCCCGAGTGTTTCGCGCACGGGCTAGACAAGTAAACAAGCTGTAAACAAGTGATGTCACGGACATGCGTAGTACGTTATTCAGCCCTGTCTGCCAGATGTGTTCTTTTCTTGGTAGACTTCTTGGTATAACACCGCGGCAAAACGTCTACGCATGCGCCAGGTTGAGCATTTCCGGTCTCTTTTTCAGTCACACTTTCCAGTCAGATCAAAGTCTCCCCCGCGCGCTCGGCTTCATTCTATGTGCAGCTTGTGGTTCAGTTGTTCTGCTTCATGCTGCTCGTGTTTTTGACTATTTTGTTGTTATTGAAATTGCTTTTATGGATAACCAGGCACAGATCACTGAAACAATTAGTCGATTAGATTCAGAAAAGGTAAGATGATAATAACTCAGCGTGTAATTTTGGCTAGAGCGTCAGGTAAACTGATTTTCATTCACGAAAACAAAGGTTTTGACTGTTATTTTTCACTTAACCTGGCTGAAACTAAGACATAAAAAGCTATCATTGCAAGCTTGTGTATTGTAGTTCTAATTTTCAGTTCTTCAGTTTCTCAGTCTTCATGCCTTAAAGCCGATTCGAGATTTATTTGGAAAACAGCAACACACAATCGCTTTGTACTTTTATTTACCAGTGAGTTTTACCGTGTTTTGAAACGAAACTCTTCTGAGTTGATTGCCATGAAACGTAAGCTTAATTATACTGTTGAGGTTGGCAGCAAGTTGACAACTCTATTTATTTTTTTCATTCTCAGAATCAGATAGAGAAAGCTGGTTCGATGGCTTTTAGAAGTCGAAATTTTCATGCCTTGTATTTAGCAGCTGAAAGTTTCGTGTTTGCATGAGATGCAGCCGAGCCGCACAGTCTGAAATTATTGAAGTCTTCACTGACCAAAGAACAACCAAAGAACAACCATGTAAAAGAATTAAATAGGCATTTTCTTGAATGAAAGTCATTTATAGGCATGTTTAGTTTCCCAGCACTGAAAGCTCCGGGTGTTCGTGACTGCAGTCATCGAAGTCGAGGTTGTTATTAAATCCCGCACATCTTTTGTTTTGAGTTGTTGTTTTCTCTGATAATAAAAAAATTGTTGAACGGACTAAAATTTTATTTCCTGGTTCTAGTGTGAATGATAATGATGACGGCTTTTTTTTGGTTTCTTTCATAAGTATTGCCATTCTTTTCTTAGTTATCGCCTTCTCCCAAATCAACTTATGCCAAACCAGTAGCATTCAAGAAAGCCAGTAAAAACAACTTCGTCTTGTCGAGCGCTCGCGAACTGCAAACTTCAAACATCATTTTCACCGTTGGTGCAAACAGATAACCATGTGGTGCAAAAGTTTGACACTAGAAAAATACATAAGCTTTCGAATGAAGTGATTTTTTTTGCCCCCTTTTTTGTCTGTTTCTCCCTTTTTGCTTTCAAACTTAGCGCGGCGGCAATGTTATGCTTACTCAATTGGTTTATATACTAGACCGGAAATAAAAAGCTGACCGGATGTTAAATTTTGTGCTCATGCGCAATGCGTTTTGCCGCGGTGTTTCTTGGTATACGCTTTGGTATACGCACGTGTGTTTATTTGTTCCTCATTTTTCGCTTCTAAAATCCTTCAGGATATAAAAAAAAGCTAGCTATAGCATGAACGTTTACACGGCTGACAGAGGGCCAAGTTATGCAAACGTTGCAGATAATTACTTCGGCGGAGCGCGAAGTCATAAGGATCGTGCAGCTCAGGAATGTTCCAAAGTTGCAACTTCGGGACATCCGAATGTCCCGAAGTTGCTTCGGCATTAGTTCGAGGTATTTTCGAGCTGTTTGATGTATTCTTTCAGCGAAAGAAATAATTATGAGGAATAAATAGAGTAGAAATGATTATTATTATTTATATGCTAGGGTTTGAACCAACTCACGTGTAACTCGTCAGATCAGTTGAGCCGCTCTAACGATTGCGCGACTACGACTAAAGGTCATTTGAAATGTGAAAAATAGCTTTAATGCAGGAGTTCGTGACTTCTCTTGTTTTGAGTTTTTGACGTATACGTATAAGTGACACCGAAATGAGTTCGAATGGCGAGAGAGGCGGTGCGCGAAGTATTAAGGTTTTGCGACGCTCTGGGATGTCGTTAAGTTGCAGTTTGCTGCTTGCGAAGTTGTTTGAGATATCTCGAGATAAGCTGTAGTTGTTTACATAGTTTATCTTACCCTGGGTACCAGAGGTTTTTTTTCTCGCGTGCGACGAGGAGCTTCGTCGGCGCGGCCGACTCGTCCGTTGGCCGAAGGCCAGACGAAGGCCGAAGACACGAGCGGGCTTCTTTTTGGAAACCGCGCATGAAAAGCCTCTGGCACCCGAGGTAAGTTTATCTGAGAAAGAAAGAAAGCCTATTTTTGGCTCGCGTGGGGTTTGTCTCTTTGCCCCGTAAGATAAGGGAGACGAAACTGTAGCCAAAAAAGTCAAAGATCGGTGTCTTGTGGGTTTAATTTTTTTTTTTAACTTTTAGGAACGGTAAGTTAATGTTTCGCGAGGGATATATTTCCATAAGCTTTTAGGAAACTGAATGAAACCGAAAGTGGAGTTTTTTGGCGTCAGTGAAACGTGATTTTGGACAATTTTTTTTTATTGGAGTAATAAATACATTTACAAATACAAATTTGGAAATGTCAGTTCTTATTAAAAGGGAAAAGCGTTCAGTTCGTGTTTACGTGTGTAGCTCACAAATGGTTCGTTTATGTTATTGCAGCTGTGGCGAGAAGAGATGATAAAGAGAGGATTTAAATCTAGCCTGCGTAGCAAGCGTTTCCGTTTAGTTTCGGAGCAAAAAAAGACCGAGGAACGGGATTTTCGGTTTTGACCGCGCGAGAAATGAAACGAACGCCAAAAAATGAAAGAGGCGGGGAGGGAAGAATGCGATGTTGTTTAAATTATTCTGGTACAAGGATTTTGTCCACTGAAAATTGAAATTACTCAATTTTCTGGTGGATTCCGTCTTAAGTTCTCTCATCGTGGTTTGCCATTTGAAACTGCAAATGACCACACTCCAATTCGCCGTGACAAGGAAGTACGTTTCGGACGGCGCAGAAGAGCCTGTCGTTCCCGTATCAATGACGTTCTGAATGCTTGAATGGCCATGGGGTTAGTCAACGGTCAGGTTTCGATACAAAATCGTTTCGCGATCGACACAAGTTGTTTGAGTCGAGGTGTAAAAGGTTTCATGTACTTGGCTTAAAAACAAAGAACATGCTCGAAATGTTTTTCGTTTCCATGCCAAAATTCATATATACTTGAAGTGAATGAAATCAGTCAGGGTTGTGTAGTTTCACTGAAAGGAGTTTGTATGAAAACGACCGGTTTCCATATAAGGAGAGAGGCCCCACAGAACGTGAAAGGCTGCTTAAAGTTATAGTTTTTATCGCATTGAACGTGAATTATTGTTATTTTAGTGACAATTGTGTTCCAAAGCTGTTTGACCGTCTCGCGCTCACTCGGAGTTCTTTTGCTATGCGGCCGGGCACCTCGCCACCAACGAAATCGCCACATCGTACTGAATACCTATCGAAAGGACAAAGTCTAAAAATAATTCTTTCATTTTAAATTAACAATGAAATTTAAGGAGTTAAGGTTCAAGTGACAATATAAACCAACTTTCACAAGAAAGGCAGTTGGATTTTAAACAAATCCCCGCACCTCTCGAGCGATGAAAATAAGCCGTATGAAGGTGTTTCGATACAGTTTTTCAAAGGCCATACCGATATTTTTCAATCGCCTTAAAAGTAGTTTTTTCCTTGTCCGATCGCTATAAAATTTTCACCAGTAATTGGCTATGGATTGAAATTTGTGAAAATGTAGTTTTAAGTAAAATCGATATTACTATGACAACAATAAACAAAAAACTTTGAAATTGATAAAAGCCGAATTTTGTGTGATCTAGACCTGCTACTGAAAATCCAACACTAGGAACTTAAAGTTTGGTGTTTAGCAAACAATCTCCGTAAGAAGTAAAAAATTCTGTATGTTTGAATTCGAATAAAACGAAAATATATTTCAAACCTTAAATTTTCAATAGCCGTGATAGGTTATGTAATAAAAACGTTATAAATGACTCAAATTATTCTTACGTAGCGTACGAATGATGCTTAATATCATGTTTTGATGCTAGGAAATTTTGGTGTACTTTCGTTCATGCGATATTGAAATCTAACCTGTTTTCTCACCATCTGTATAAGTGCAACTTCATTCAGAATTTGGACTTTTAGCGCTTTCTTGTATATCTCCGAAACGACTCGAACGAATTTTTTCAAAATCTCTTCACATAATCTTCATAATGTATATAAAAATGTCCGAAACTTTCATTAAGATTGATTCACTGTAACACCTTGAAATTTCAAGACAAACCTATCCGACGAACCGGTCAAAAATCTGCGCTCCAACATTCACTGTTTTGACGTTATGGTAATTTTTCCAAATTAATGCGGACAATACATATATCCATGACTAGTACATTTCAGTGTGAGTATTGCCAATATTTTACATTCAAAAGATGCGATAAATTCAAACTAAGATGTACTAGTCATGGAGGTATGTATAGTGCGCATTATTCTGGAAAAATTAGCATAACGTCAAAACAGTGAATGTTGTAACGCAGATTTTTGACCGGTTGGTAGGACAGGTTTGTCTTGAAATTTCAAGGTGTTGCAGTGAATCAATCTTAATGAGACTTTCGGACATCTTTATATACATTATGAAGATTATGTGAATAGATTTGAAAAAAATTCGTTCGAGTCGTTTCGGAGATATACAAGAAAGCGCTAAAAGTCCAAATTCTGAATGAAGTTGCACTTATACAGATGGTGAGAAAATGGGTTAGTTTTCAAGATCGCATGAACGAAAGTACACCAAAATTTCCTAGTATCAAAACATGATATTAAGCATCATTCGTACGCTACGTAAGAATAATTTGAGTCATTTATAACGTTTTTATTACATAACCTATCACGGCTATTGAAAATTTAAGGTTTGAAATATATTTTCGTTTTATTCGAATTCAAACATACAGAATTTTTTACTTCTTACGGAGATTGTTTGCTAAACACCAAACTTTAAGTTCCTAGTGTTGGACTTTCAGCAGCAGGTCTAGATCACACAAAATTCGGCTTTTATCAATTTCAAAGTTTTTTGTTTACTGTTGTCATAGTAATATCGATTTTACTTAAAACTACATTTTCACAAATTTCAATCCATAGCCAATTACTGGTGAAAATTTTATAGCGATCGGACAAGGTAAAAACTACTTTTAAGGCGATTGAAAAATATCGGTATGGCCTCTGAAAAACTGTATCGAAACACCTTAAGGTCGCTTTAAAAAAGAAGCAGTTATTCACCAAAAAAAATAAAGCTTCTAACGAAGAGGATTTCGACGCGAAGATGTCAATTAGAATCGATAAACATATATTTGGGCTTGAGGAAGAAGTAACAATCCCATGTAAGTAAACAGTGTCATTACAGAGTTACTATGTGGTTGCTAGTAGACTTCTTGGTGGCGAGATGACCTTAAACTTTTCTTGAGGGTGGTTTTTGGACGAAAAAAAAAACTTTTGGACGGAAAAGTTTGGCGGTAACGTTTTCAATCCGGCTAGATGTATGTACGTAATTTGGCACTTAATCTACCCAAAAATATAAGAGGCTGTTCAGCCAAGCCGAGTTCTTATATATAGCTTACAGATAAATTATGATAAACATTTTAACCAAGGAATTTGACTTCGTGAGTATTACAACAAAATACTGAACCAAACGGTGATTATACTTACAAATAGAAGTCATTACGTACCGCCATTCCTACAAAGAAAACAGCTTTATCAAACTAAGAGATTACATGCTAATTGTCCTCAAGGACCTTGCATGAAGGAGTCATTATGCAGTTCCGAATAATACTCAGTGTATATTAAAGGACCAAACTCAAGTTTCTTTTATTTCTGGTAGTCATCAACTATATCTCCTTCATCAGAATTAAGAACCTACTTAGCCTAAATTACCATTAACTACCTCGAAATAAAAGAACCTTTTCCGCCAGACTTCAAAAAATGTAGACGCGGGTCATGGTTCACTGTAATGTAGCAGTATGGCAAAAATATATGGGAATTCTAGGTGAGAGTGGTCCGTCCGGTTCTCCAAATCTTGACGCTATTTCAGTCCAAAAAATGTCATTTTTCACACCAGCCTGGTCCCCAGGGCGTTTTTCCCTGCTTTCACACCCGTTTTCAGACCTGGTTTCTAAGAAATTATGTTATCATTACTTGGATCAGAACGCCAACAAAATACACTTTGAATTCGCTTATTTCTCGGTTTATTCTTATTCATATGGAATTGAAACGATAAATACCTTCATATACTCAGACCAGTAATTTCCTCGAAACCCCTACCCCATTCCAGACCAAAATGGCCATAGTCTCCTGGCAAAGTCTATACCAGTCTTCAGGCCAAAACGGCGTTAAAACCATACCCTTGTAGTGGCACATACCTATATGGCTTATATAAGGGAGTACCCCCGGCCCCTGGACGAGAATCAGTCTCATCAGAGGCCAGCTCCAGTTATCAGTAGTAGCCTGTGAACAGGCCTTTGGTCGAGCGGAAAACTTTCCCTTCCTTTTCCACGCTATTTTATTTTCTCCAAACTAGAAACTAAAATACCTGACTTCAAATCACTTTCACACGATACTTTAATATCTCTTCTTATGAATTCTTCTGATTTCTTGTCCGTTAGTTTCATTTATCTCGCAATGCTTTGAATTAAGAACCAAATTAATATCAACGAATAAATGAATGAGAACTGTAACGTTTTGTAATGTTTTGCACGTACTAATTAGTTGAATTAGTACTTAAATTTAGACTAACAGCTTTTGCAATACTGTAATTCCTTAATGGTCATGCAAATAAAGCATTTGGTGTTGTTGTTGTAGCCTGGTCACTCGTCACTCGACACTGCGTTGCGTGACGACCTTTTCGCGTCCCGAGGATGTCCACGAGTTACTCGTGCAGTAGTCTGGGTTAGAATTACATCCAAACAAAATGGCGGGCAAAAAAGACATTCAGGATTTATCTGATTGGGAGTTATTGAACGAACTTAAGTCTTTAGGTTTGAAAGTTGGGCCGATTAGCCCAACTACCAGAAGGATATATGAAAAAAAGCTGTCTAAAGTTCGTGGCTGCGATGTTGTTGACAATACTCAGGAAGATCGGAATACACGTGTGGATGTCCTTGCTGACGAAAGTACAAAGTTGACCAATGCTGTTACTGATAATTGTACTTCGAGAGCTTTGGAAAGTCCCGCCGTTTTTTATGGTGTCTGTTTTGACTTGGTTCGTTCGTCTTCTGAAAGTGGATTACCAGCTTCAGCCGTGTTCATAAGCAAAGAAGAAGCTCTAAAAACAGTGAAGAAATTCAAAGGTGCTCGCTTTAAAGGTTTCAAGACCAGAGATGAAGCAGAGAGTTTTTCTCGATCGCGATCAAATGAACAAGAAACTTCTTTGGCTGTAATGAATTCTTTATCAGCTTCTCCTGCAGATCCTGTAAGCAAATTTAAAGGACCAACACCACAGGAGTTGATCAAATTTCGTAAAATTATTGAAAAGGGATCAAGGGACGAATTTCTGGAGATGGTATTAATTAATCCTAGATACTTGATTGGTCCTGGTGACACACCAGTGATCTTACAAGAAGGGTTCCGCTATAATGCCCTTCACGTGGCTGTGAAAAATAACAGAAAGGAAATGTGTCAGGTGATTATTGATACACTAGAAAGTCAGTCCTTTTGGAACATTCTTTTAAATCAAGAGACGGAGTCTGTGGTAAATAACCAACGGAAACAGTTTTTAGTTGACATGTACCTCAATAACCCAGACAAAGGGGTGAGTATCTGTTATAGTATTAGAGGACACAGTATGGACAGAATGGCTGTAGCCAAACAAATTTTAATGTGTGGCGATATTTCGCATCATGCCAACTGTTGTTATTAATGTTGTCAACCAGGGGCTCATTGGCTCTTGAAACAATGGTTTCTTTTGTTTGTGGCTGGCATATTTGAAAAACAAAAACAACGTTTACAAACAAGAAAAATCACCAAAGTAATTTTAGCCATATACATTTTTTTAAGCCATATTCAAGAAACTTCAAAATTTTCACTGGCCCTAGGCCTGCAGGCTCCATTATTACTGGCCATGGTTTCTGCATGGGCTTATCTGTCTTGGTAGCAGAGATTTGAGCAAGGAATTGATGGTCCGAAAACCAGGCTTATGTTTGCCAGCGATTAGCTGTCAGGTTTTGTCAATCATTATTATCATCTCGGAATGGGGTATTCCTTTGAATCTACTATGGGGGTGTGCTGCTGAGTCTATGGCTCTCTGCACCTATTCCAGAAAAGAGGGATTTATTTGCAACTCTGTTCCAGAAAATAATATTATTGCAAAAAAAGGAATGATGTTCCTGTCGCTGGCTCAGTGATAAAATGGCAAGAGGACATACCTATATATCTCGCCTTACATGGGAGTACTCCCCCACCTTGGTTTGCACCTAAGGTTGATGGACTGTGGGGAAAAAAATCACCCTTTTCCAGAGTCAAACTGAAATAGCATATACTCCTTTTCCAGATGTAAAGGGTGCTTTTTATACCATTTTCAGAGTCAGAAACCATACCCTGTTGAGCAGCACACACTTTTAAAGTCCATTTATGGGAGTACCCCCCCCCACCCCCCGCTGGGATTATTATGCACATCACCAGTACCCATATACACTTGGGTGAAGTAAAGTGGAGCAAAGTTTCTCAATTAAGGTGATTCCCTGGTTTTGCACTGCGCATCTCTTACTGCGCATAACAAGATGGCCTCCGTAAAAAGGGCATGTGAAGTAACATTATTAGAATGAAGTTGACTGAAGAGAAACGCTATTGCAATTTTTGCTTGCGGTTGTTTCTTGCCGAGGTGAGACTCAATTCGGTGGGAATGTGCATAACGTAAGCAGTACGCTCGTTGCTGAGTTCGACTTCCTCACGGAGAACCTCGATAGTGGATGTTTAATTAGTGCTTATTCACTTTGATTTTCATTTAAACGCTTTCTTTAGCACATCGTATCCTAAATGTAATATCTCGATGTAAATTCTGTTAAAAGGATTTTTTAATACTTTCTTCCCCCTTTCGCATACATTCTATTTTGAAACTCGCTCCAGTCCTCTCTCAAAAATCAAGGAGAATGCATTTGGTGCGCACTTTCTGCAGCTCTACCGCAAAAACGAGTACGGTGACCCCCATTTTTTATTTCATGATTTTAATGAGGACAGTGCTTCCTTTTGGTGAGAAAAAAATTGGCACAAATCTATGTTCAGTTTTTTGGCAATTTTACTAAATTGTACGGATTGAGCTATCACGGGTCGAATAGCGCGTGTCCAATTTAATTCTACTTTGGAGCGTAAAGAAAAAACAAGGGTATTACAAGGCATTTTTCTGGTACGTGAGTGGATAAACAATACATTAAAGTCAAATTCTGTGTGATACCACATGCATCATTGAAAAAATCTTTCCTTTTTGTCTAGTTTAGGGCTGCGCGCGGTTTTTGTCAAAGGGTCCAAAATAGCCGTATTTGTCAGCATTGTGATGTCAAAATGAGCACGGTGACCCCCACTTTTTATTACCTTTTTATCATCTTCTTGACTTTTTACATCAGTGTACTCAGTTTCATCTACAGTCTATGTTAGGTTCTTTTACTAGGGAATCACCTTAAGAAAAACAAAGTGAGGCTTGAACCCAGACCTAGAGATCTGAAGTAGGCGGTGTTATCCACTCAGCCAGAACACCTTCACATATTCAGCCCTGGCCAATAGAGTACTAAAGTGTGACGTCTTAAAAAATTAAATTTGTGAAATTATGGGATTCGTCAGGATATTCTGAAAGAAAAACATCCAAGAGGCCTACTTGCCAAAAACTAGCATTGTTGGGCAAATTGTCAGCCACTCTGAGATATTAGCCCAGTTATGCTTTTATGACTCCATACATATCCTTCTAGATTTGACTTGGGTCATAACGTTATGACCCAAGTCAAATTTATTAACACCATTTTTGGTTCATGGGCCATTAATGTGTTAATGGTTATTTATCTTATGAATTTGACCAGCCAGAAATGATACTTGACTGAGCCAAAATGAATTTGGCCAGTCATCGTGTCAGGAGACTTTGCGGGAAATTATTTTGAGTCCTGTAGTCCTTCTGTGTAGAGCACAAAAAAGACTAAAAGAAATATGCTCTTATTAAACAACAGTCAACAATGGCCACCAAAATCATATGAACAGGATATCTACAAAAACTTCTTCGGATCGTTTGATTGATCTTTGCGTCCTACCGGACGCATGCCACAATTATTTTGCGTCTTTGGGGGTTTTTATGCGTCAGGGACAGAGGACACAGAGGTGACAAAATCTCTGTTCATTCCTTAACTGTTTTCTCTACCTTGTTTGTTGAATGATTCTCGTTATGTTGTATTTCTGTCAGAACTGGGAAACACCCTTACATTTTGCTTGCAAATTTGGTCATGCTGATGTTGTGGAATATCTGGTATCCCATCCTCTGACTGATGTCCAGAGAAGAAACAAGTATGGAGAAACACCTCATCAGGTATATGAATAATGATAATGATATCATAGGTGACAAATAACTCCTTAATTTTGGCAAGAAATTTCAGCTTTAATTTGTAATTTCACATGTGAAATGACTAAATTGCCATGGCAACCTGCCGTACATCTCGGTTTCAAGATGGTGTCGAAAATTTGAAATGTCATGAATGAAGATGTCACGGCAAAAAAAGACGCTTTAGAAAACCTGAACACACGAAAGAGCACTTCAAGAAGGATTCTTAGAGGTATGTTGTCGAAAAATTCTGAAAACGTAAGCCAAATTTCAGCTCTAAACGTTTGAGAGAGTGGAGTTCACGATCGATCGATATGATCCAGGATAAACAAGTCAAAAATCCTCGATTGCTAAGGTAGTTTGTCACCCATGATATTAATAGGTAATCAAATGGTATACTCGTGAAATTAGGGAATAATATTTCACTTGCGTTTTGTCGAAATCCTAATAATTTTAAATTATAAGGATTTGGACAAAACGCGCGTGAAATTACTCCCTAATTTCACTCACACCATTTGATTACACATACAAATACATCATTGTGCATAATGTTACATGTCAAAATCATACTCAGGTTAAATTTTTTTAGTCTAGGTTGATACTCCACTGCCTTTGTCTCCTAGACCTAACTGATGAATAATTATGGCTAGGGAGACAAATGAAATATTGAGAATCTACCTAAATTAAAACTTTTAACCTGAATTTAATTTTAAGCTGTAACAGATTTATTAGTATCAATATTGTACTTTATAATAATTGATTAAATTTCCTGCATTGGATAAGTATGAGAATCTATAAAATTTGCAGCATCTTGGCTGGTCAGTTGTTTAAGAGAGTGCACAAGTTATTATTGTTTAACAAATTCTGCTGTACAAAAAGATTATTTTATTGCAATTCTTATGTGTATCTTTCAGGTAATTTGTTCTAGATGCACTGCTCCAAGTTCTGAATTAAAGAATCAAATAAAGAGTTTTCTTAAAGGTTTGTCATCACTAGAACACTAACACGTTGAGATGTGTAAATTTTCTCCATACTCTCAGTTTCTTCTGTTCTTGGGGACAATAGTCAGTGAATTTTTGGGTAGGAAAGCCCCCTTCCCTCTTATAGGGCTGTGGTCTGCTTTGGGGCAAGGGGGCACTGCCATGTAATAGCTAAATTCTTTCACCATTCTAACAAAAAATTATCTTTTAAAAATTTGGCAGTGAAAGTGACCACTCCAGGAGTAGACAGAAGTTTTTCAAATAATAATCCATACCTGTCAATAAAATACGATTTACTTCAACCTCCCTTATTGTGGTTTTAGAAAAAAAATAACACTACGATGATAAATGATGAAGTGACACATTAATGGCTTCATCCCTAGTAATTTTTCTTATGGCACTTTCCATAGACAGCTTTTTTGTCCCACTCATGGGATCCTTGGACAATTCCACCCCTCCCTGGATAGGAGGCCCTTGGTCACCAGAAGTTTCCGATGATAAAAGTATTCAAGAACCTACAGCACAAGGAAGCCCACTTAGTCACGGCTGGAAACAACAGAACAGCCCAAGTGACGTGCCAGTGACCGTCCGGGCATATGCTGGCCCGATGTCTCCCTCAAAGGTACCTATCTAGTCCTGCTGAACTCTGTGTAAGCCATACACGCCTAAGGGACACATCCGCTTGCTGTCTTTCTTGAAGAAGTGCTGGATATGTGTCCCTGTAACGTTTGAAGTAGGCAGCCTGACTGTCTTAAGTAATGGTGGCAGTAATTTTTTAGATCATTTTGTGGCAGAGCTCTGTTTACCCAAACTTAGCTTAACTTGAATTCTTTGCTAGCCTGAGAAAACAGCCAACATTTCACATCACCGCCAGGGTCCACCGCTAGTTCTGAGGAGTAAGCACAGAAATTCCACAGTGGCTAGATCTGGGTATTGCTTCTGATTGGATGAAGCAAACTTTCAGCCATTATGCACTAAATGAGATGTCATTTCACGGGGAAACTAGTGGTGGATCGAGTCACGACCTGTTTTTTTAGGCTAATTTCCTGTTAGATCAACAATATCTTATTTCAGTCTCCTAGTGTACTAAGTTGTTAAGTTTCCCTTGTGAAACAAAACAAAAGGCAAAAAGTAATCAACAAATCCCTATTATCTTAACCTGTTTTTTGTTTTCCTCGGAGGTTTGAAATAGTGTGAAATAATGTGCAAAATTTTAGAAGATTGTCTTCCCACTTTCAAGGGTATTTCCCCCAATTTTTTTAGTGTGAAATTCATCTTACTATGTAGTAACAAAAATTAATAATGTCTTTTGTAGGCTGCAGAATTCTATCATTCATGGAAAACTCCTCCCAATACAGAACAGCGTAAGAACTACATTCAGATTAAACGAAAAGATGACAGCCGGGGTGTTGAAAGGATTGGAAGGTAATGAAAAAAAAAAAAAAGAAGAAGAACCAACCAGCAACCACAACCAACCAGCTCGCCACCAACTAATAACTCTGTAATCAAGTTTGAGTAAGCGTGGCGAAGAAGTAAAGATTTTAAGTGAGTAATCCTAGTGGAGAAAACACGTTGATTAATGCAGAGTCATTACTTGGTGGCGAGTTGGTTGGCGTCGAGTCGACATCTTGGTGGCGATTTCGTTTGACTACGAGTAGTCCCACATTTTCCTCAGTGATTGTCGAGGTAGAGAAACGCGAGCGCGCGTTTAAAATCACACCACGCGAGAAGTGTTGCCTCTTCTCGCGTGGGGTGATTTTCACGCGCGCTCGCGTTTCGCTCTCTCTACTATCTCTGAGGAAAAGTGGGGGACTACTCGTAGTCTACGATTTCGTTGGTGGCGAGATGACCGTAAATTTGTGATTAGTTATCTCAGTTGATCATGGTGATGTGTAATCTGTTTGATGTTGTTAGGGAGCTTGCGCATAATGGAAAGATTCCATGGGTAGAGTACTGGAATTTTCTTGGATGTTATGCTGACCTGTCAACCCCTCAAGGTCTGGAGAAGCTAGAAGATTATTTAACTAAGAAAAAGGACAGAATTCTGTTAAGTAGGCTATCGGTAACACCCCAAAGACTAAGAAATGTGAAGAGCACGGACAGTGCTGTTCTAAAAACACCAGAATCAAGGCAGAGCAGTGTTGTTTTACGGGAGGATGTTTTGTTGAGACCAGGAGAATATGAAAGTGTGAGTAACTGCCGTGAGGAATCTGGTGTTAAGGATTTCAGTGAAGGCTGTAAAGCAACTTCAAGGAAAATACAGTTTTCAGATTCACAAATTGAATCGGATCATACATCTATAGAAGTAGAAAAAGACTTGCTGTGGGATTGTACACGACAGAATGCTGTGGAAAATGTTTTAACCTGTAGTTTACCCATGCCTCAAAGATCAGAGGTTAAATTTAATGAAGCCGTTGTAGACGAACTGGCAGATAACCTAGATACGCTTTCCCTACAAAGAGAACAAGCTAAAACAAACAGAGAATATAATACTTTGGTAGCTGAAATGCCAAACAAACTGAACACATTTGATGTGAGTAGTTGCTCAGGAGAAACAAGTGATGCAAAAGATAATGTGGATAATGGCAGCAGTCTTCTATGCAAGAAGAAGTTATCTTATCACTCACCAGAAAACGAAAGTAGGCTGTTTGACGCAAAAAACAAAAATATATCTGATGTAGTTCCTATGGCGACAGATGTGGAAGTCAAGGCTAGTTTAGGGGATGAGAATTTTAAAAGTTCTACCCACTTGGAAAACGACAGAAATGAAAGTACAACATCATTATTATTGTCATCAATGCCATCCACAAAGGCACAAAATTCTGATGAGGACGAAGTGTTTGAGAACAATGTAGATACAGTTGCTTGGAGATGTGTCGCGGTGGATTGTTCAATAACTTGTGATCGTGAAGATCAGGGCTTTAAGTTGCCTGAAAACAAAGCGTTTAGACATACCAAGCCCGTCAAAAGTGTCAGCGACTTTCCTGGTGGAGAGGATGTCAATATTTTCGTCCAGGGGTAGGTTCCATCGCGGTCAAACGTCTTCCTGTTAGGCGTTATTTTTGTTTGAATTGCTGGGATTTCATTTATCAGTAAGTGGAAAACAGGCAAAGATGTGTAAATTACTATCTTCTCGTTTTTCTGAAAATTGTGAACTTTTTTTCGTGAACACTTCGCGCTAAAATTGTGCAGGAAAATGGCGCCAACAATAACAGCAGATTCGATTTTAACGCTTAGAGCTTTTTTTTAAAGTAAACTTTTAAATAAGTTGAGTAAACTAACAGTGTTCGGTATTGAAAGTAGCACCCTAAATCGGTAATAACGAGATCTGGTAATACAGTAAAAAAAACCCGTAAGTAAGAACCTGTTAGGCAAAAATTTGCCAGTTAGGCCCCCGCTGTACAAGAACATGTTGAGCCTAAAATTTGAAACAGGTTCTTATTTTTTGAAAACATTCTATAAAAACATTCTGTACACTTGGGCAAATAAGATAAGTTAACATTCAGGGTCCTCTTCGGAGACATAGGTGCCTTATCACTCCAACCGCGCAATTATGCAGATGTATATAAGGAATAAGCTGAATACCACTAAATGCTCTTAACTACATTGAATTTTTTTCTTCAGAAAATTAGAACCTACCGTAAAATTCCAAAATTAAGTCCCGGGGCTTAAATTTTCAAGGCTCTTTTTGAGGGGCTTATTTACCGAGGAAAATTTGCGCTTCAAAATCGATTGGGCTATCCATATAGTTACAGTTTTTGCTTTGTTTTACTTTGTATTTGAGGGCATTTTTCAAGTACAAACCCCCGGGGGGCTTATATTCGGAGGGGCGATTTAACGGAGGTCTTTTTTAGTTAACACCGGTTTGGGGGGCTTATATTTGGAGGGGCTTATAAAAATCGATTCAAGGAAATACCCCGGTATAGAACAATGGAAGCGACTGGTAACATCATATTCTGAGGAAAAGCAACGAAGGTAAGATCTCTTTTTTGTTTCCATCCCAGAAAGAATCTCTTGTGACTACACGCCTTGGGCTAAAACTTCATCAAATATAAAAAACCTTTTTTTGGTTTAAATTATTAAAAAAAAAAAAAAAAAACCAGTCATGTTATCGATAAGCTTCAAGCTTTTGTTCTTGTTGTCTTTGTTGTGACGTTAACGTTTGATTTATTTGTTTGTTTGTTTGTTTTTTTTTCAGTTGGCCAAGCCCTGGATCGCCAAGGTTCCTAACAAGACATAAATCTCTTATGTGGAGTTGTTAGACTAAGCCCGCTTTATTTAATTATTTCTATCATGCTTAATTTCCCTAGATCTATTGTTCAAGTTCGTTGAAATTAGGTGTTTTAGTTTCCACGTTTTTTCCCTTACTGTGGAGGCAAAAGGAAAAATCTACCCTGTTAGTTTGCAAAAGAGTGGACCTTTATTGGTTTCTATGTGCACAAATAAAAAGCGTTCATCTTGTAAGACAATAAACTTCGTAGAAAGCGCCGGTTTTGTTAAGGCGAAGGGAGAAATTTCGAGGACGCGTGCACGCACGAGAGGAGGGACAGACAGACGGATAGGTAGATACTTTTTCAATGAGGATTTTACTTGATATCCACAGATAATATACACAAGGCCCTCACCTAACTAACTCCCAGGAGACGTTCTTAGCCAATGAAATTCTATGGACCGTCAGAGAACGAAGAAAAACGGAAAACGTGGGCCTTCGCTGTAGGCGCCTCCTCTCCCCTTCCCTTCGCGTGTTCCCCTCATACGCTAACAGGCGCCTTCCAAGCCTCTTCTTTGGTCCCCGCGTGCGCGCGCGCGCGTCCTTGAAATTCCACCCTAACGTTGATGTTACACGGGACGATTAGCAACGACGATTTTAGCTCAACACAGCATTGCAGGGTTGGAGCAATGTTGCAACCGTTCGAAACAGTATCAGAACAATGTTCGCTAATGTTGAAATGCTGTGTTGCGCGAAAAACCGTTGTTGCCAATCGTCCTGTGTAACATCACCTTAACAAAGCCGGCGCAGGCTAGAAAACAATGATATTTTATAAGCCAGAAAATGGCACCATGATGAGTTTTCCTTTTTTCTCTTCTGTAATATTAAGGTAGTGGTCGATTCTTTGTCCCTGAATGTATCGTTCACTTTTGTTCCTCTTTCTACTGCAGTGGTGATGTACAATTTGTAGAATTCTACATGGATTCTTCATTTCAAAATTTTCGTATTTTCTTAGATTAAATATCAGTACTTTTTCAATTCCCACAATGTTGGCACGATAGTCAATATTTTCCAGCAACTGCCTGGAAACTGGGGCGAGGAGCCTAAACAAAAACGCGTCATGAGAACCAATGTATTTTGACCTCGGTCCACAAAAATTCCTCCCATTACAGTGGCGAATGTGTTCGGGAGTTTCATGTCTTGTTAATGCATACATCGTTCTCTTGTTAAGAACGTTCTCATCCAGATGCTCGAATCCTTTATCAACGTAACAATCTGCGTTTATAATCATTGAGTTCTTGCGCAATAAATAATTTGAGGCGTATTCAAAAGCATCTTTGTAACGCATGCGCCGTCCAAGCAAATAAAAGACAAGTTTCCAGTTTCCAGTTAAATTCAGAGCTTGAATGAAAAAGGTATCTTGCTGGCTTTCACAAAGAATGTGAATTCCTTGCACCTGGAAATGAAACCAAAAGGTTTAATAGAGCGTTTTCGCCTCACGTGGCCAGCACCTATGGAAGCTTATTGGAACAAAAGCAAGCGTTTACATAAGAAAAGAGTCTCACAAGACTGGTTTTGAACATCAACATGGCCGACGTGACGTCATGTAAAAACGCTCCATTCGCCACTTCAGAAACGAGAGGGAAACTGGACCGATTTACCTTTCACAAGGACTTCTGGGACATGGAGAAAAGTTGGCCAATAGTAGACCGGCGCGTACCCAGTAACGCTCCCACTTTCAATCGCGGGAGACGTTTCGGCTCCAGTCCCCCTTCTCGTTCCTAAAGTGGCGAACAGGGCGCTACAGACTTCGAGTGAATTCTATGCGCAAAAAAATTGGTGAAAATTTTTCTTTCTTAAGTTTTCAGGGTGAAATATTAAAGTAAAAACAAAAGAAGGTGTTAGTTTCAAACAAAACTGGTGCACCGTCGAGAGGGAGGGAGGTGCAGGGGCTGGCTGAAGTCTTGAAAAAAGTCGCTGCTTTTAATTGGTCTGAGGGCGTTTTCACATGAACCCGGTTGACCTGGCTGGCCCGCTTACCGGGGCCAATTTCACCTTGGGTTAATATAAGAAATTACAGCCCGGTTTCCGAGATGAGAAAAGGCCGAAGACGAGTTGTGGCGCGAAATTCGAGAAGCAAAGCAGCATGGCGAAACACAGAGTTATAACTTTCGCGCCTATTATAGCTTTGGCAACCCTTATAGCTGTAATTAACACTGTTGTCAAATGGGATGCTTATGACATGGAAAATACAACAGGCAAAGCAAGACGATGCAGAATTCATTCGAAGAATAAGAATTGATCCCGCTTTCATCCCGGTAACCGGGCTGAAGTGTCCTTATGGCAAATTTTCCAGCCGGCTTACCGAGATCTCGGTTGGAAAAACCGAGATCTCGGGAACCGAGCCAGCCCGCCCTCTCATAAGAACACATCGAAAATTTTACAAAGGATTTAGGGGTAAGGCGAGATCTCGGAAACCGGGCCAGCCCGGTCAACCGAGCTCGTGTGAAGAGGCCCTTAGATGGATAACGTTTTTCGCAGATCAATAAGGCTAATTAGATTACAATAGCCCACTTCCGAGTTCCAAAAACTCTCTCTTTCAAAACGAAGCTACGTGCAAAACCTTCTTTGTGAAAATGAGTTTTATTTGCACGAGAATAAACACTTAGCCTCATTTTGAAACAGAGACTTGGGACAACTCGTAAATGGCCTGGACTTACTTCAGGACTCAGTAGATTTCGTTGGAGGCAGTATATGTACTCCTTCTGCCTTGAAGCCAGCGAGGCAGGATCAGAGATACCGGAAGTGTTTAGTACCGGAAACTGAATGATCAGATGCAACTGCGCCCCTCTCGTCTTGATATCTTTGCTGGTCGTTTGTTGTTTGACAATATCATTGGTTGTCCTCTTTTTTGATACACCTGACAGGAAAATAACGCGAGTTAAGCCTCTGATCGCGGTTCTTGGTTTCCCCTGTATTAGCTGGAAAGTTTCTTTTTTTGTATTCCGAGGTGTAAGTCGGTCAGTGGACGAGTTAGCCAGTCATGTTCAAAAAAGAACTACTCTTTACTTTCTACAACAACTTTTCGCAACCTGTAACAGCGTGATTTGTATCAAGGCAGGTTTGATTCGTGGGTATAAAACACGCAACATCGCTATTTAACTCGTTTTGTAACAATGATGCAAATTAAACAGATTGCACGTCTTTTCCGCCCGTTTTATCGTTACATAATTGGGAACTATACTGTTTCTCTGACTAAAGACTGAACGACCAAGATTAAACCTGATGAAAATCTCTTACCTTGAATACTTCTTTGAGACATTTCATCATCGTTTTTAGCTAATAAAAGTCTGAGTGGCTTGAAAATCAAGCTGTCTGGTATTATCCAGTGAAGGACGAACAATGCCAGTACGATCAACAACAGAAGAGAAGATCTGCCTTTCCTACATAACAACGGTCTACACTGGACAAAAGATATGAAGAGGAAGATTATAAAATGATTCAGCAAAATAATCACGATTATGCTGTGTACAGATTAAGATTTTAGGAGCTGTGTCACGAACTACCACCAAATTGAGGGCAACATGTGTTAATAAAATAACCCGGTTCAAAAGGTTAGAAGAAGGTATAAAGGAAGCACGGATGGACAAACTTGAAGAAGATTTAAACGGATTAGAAATGGGGTTTTGAAATGTGAGAATGCATAGGGCACTCGGGGCTTGAGAATCGGATAAATAACAAATGATAGCGAATGAATACGAGTCTGCGCCAAGGGCAGACAGCTATTGACGACGCTCTGGGTTTGCCTAGTCCCTGTACGGCGTTTTCCCAAGCCTTCTCGGTCAATTCACTTCGGTGACGTATCCAATGTGAACGGGCGGGAAACTTCCTCGCTCGGACCACGTGACCCGAAAGGAATTGGCCGCTCGGATTAATGAAGCTAAAGGACTAGGCAAGCTCAGGGTGAATTTGAAACGTAATCTGTCAAAACGAGCGAATGGCGGATAGCCTATACTATTCGTGGCAAGATTTTAAAAGGGAAGAGGAAAGGCTAAAGTTAAGCGCGCATTAGAAGCCGCTCTTCATGTATTTTTCACACGCCATTCTCGACCCCAGTGCTTACGGGTTTGATCTCTCTCCTCTACATGCGCAGAAGAGCTCTGGGTCGAGATTGTTCACACGCCATATACCCCCTTATCTTTCGCTAGCTTCAGAATGCAGTAAATGTGCTGCGAAGGTGAATCAGTTATGGCAAATCGCATTTACAGTTCCCTGTTTGCATCACACTAGTTTTGATTTTTTAAACAATGGTCTTGGGAATGAATTCATATACAACTGAAGCAAAGGCTGTTGTCGTCTATCAAACTGTTGACTCGTATCCGCTGTCATATTAATATGTCATTCTCTGTTTTACCGTTATCAAAATTTAGGGTAAAAAATCACGCCATTGTTATTCCGTTAACTTTTTCTTCCTTTGTTGTAAATATTTCTTATGCCTTTTAATCTGTTTTGACAACGGTGGCTTTTCGCTTTGAACTAGTCGGTCAGGTTAATCCTCACATATTTACTGAGATAAAAGAAAGAAGCTCTTACCTTTCGTAAAATTCCCATACTTTCAACGCCATTTCTATAATGGGCTTCTGTCTTCTGTTGAATTTCTAATAACCATTGATATAAGTGGTTGATAGATAAACCATGTGAAGTAAAAACGATTCGAGCGCTTATTTACGCGATGAGGGACTTTCGTTTGAATAACTTAGACAAGAGGTCTTCCACGTTCAATTGTTACTAACTACGGGTTATTTATTTCGCTCGAATGCCTTACGATTGACCGCACATGACCAGCTAAGTGCAGGTTACACAGGTCATATAATGCTATGTTCTGTTGACTGATCAGGAATTCGATCAGGGAAGTTAAAAAACTGTCAAAGATAGACGATCGACTTGAATGAACTTCCGAATTACAACCCGTTTCTTTTCACTCTTTTCTTCAGTTCCATGTTTTTTATTTTATTCTATCATTATTTTTTTCATTCCAGAAAAAATAAATTGCTGCTCCGAGGCGTAAACTGGGACGCATTTATTCTCATGCAACTCGTCCAGAAATGATTGGGAAGAGTCAATGTTTTGTCTTCTTTAAAAGCTGTTGTTTTTCAATGTTATCGTTTACTTTCATGCGTCCTGTTGTTACACCAGTCTACTTTAAAGTCTCAGACGTTAAATGCGTGTTGAGGACTTTAACGTCTCTAGCATAAAAACCGTCACGAAAGTGGTACGTGAATGTGATCTTATAAGTTTACCGTGGAACATGTGCATGGGTACCTAACCATTGACATGGAAAAGCAGAAATTCCAGACAGAATCTGAAGGGTTCGCGGAAAGGCTTCAAAACTTAGTATGAGGGCGATTCTTCGGCTTTGCAACTTATCTACTAGCCTGCGAAAGCATCCGTTTCTCCTTCGCTCTTCACCGCTGGGGACGTTTCCCGAGGACATCCCCAGCGGCGAAGAGCGAAGGAGAAACGGACACTTTCGAAGGCTACTTATCTACTCTTTTTAGACTGTTTAGTTCATTTAGATATACTTTGTAGCGGGGCGTTGTTCTCCCACCACGAGACTTCCACCTGGGGCGTTTGTGTGAATGGTAAGCGAGAAAAGAAAAAGAAAACGGCGAGCTGAATAAAACTTACTCTTTCCACAGATCATCCTTGGGACACGCTGATCGTTTTTTGCTTCGTTGATGGCGATTTTGCATAAAATCAGAAGCATATGATCGACGCTTGTTCAATATACACTTCACTGCAAAATAGCCACACACGTAATTTTTAGCTTGAATAACTCACAAAGAACACCGCGCTCTCAAACAAACAGACGATCGTTTCAGCTGGATTTTGCTTACAGTTGAACCTCCATTAAGCGGGCACTCTCGGGGTACCGGTAAGTGGCTGCTTAATGGAGGTTGGCCGCTCAATAGAAGTGTGTCATAAATTAGAATAATCTTTAGCAGAAACATCACTTTATTTTGAAACAGACGCGCGACGGGAGAAGCATTACTATATTACTGGACAACAATCGGTCGTCACCTTCTATCGTGGACTGTATTTTCCTTCATCTTACTCTATTTTAAAATTAAGCCAAGCTAAGTGTATCAAGCGCTTGACTCAACAATGGGAGAACTCTCGCTGGGACGGACAAAAGGTGGCCGTCTCCCATTTTTCCGACAGTTATTTCAGAACGTTGATTATTGGCCGCCTAATATGGAGGTTTAACCGTATATTATTGTATTTCAGATTTATTGATTTGACTGTTTCTTCTATATTCCAGCCATAACTGCAAATCTTCTCATGTTTCACATTTTGCAGCTGTTTTAAGGCTTTTTGTACACTCTTTGATAATGAGCAACCACTGTCAGTTGTCTAGAGATTTCTAAAACCGGATGGACAGTATTTTAATGTTCTCGTAACAGACTCCGCAATGAAGCTTATCTCGGTTTTACGGGTAAAACAGGTTACAGGTTTTTTTTGTATGAGGATCTAATTTCGAATAATTTCCGTAAAACAGCTGTTCTAAAAAAAATGAATTGTAAACTAAAGCTTCACTCCTAAGGATTCTACTGAAAAAATTTGAGGGCGTTACCTGTGGTAGAACTACTTTAATTAAAATTTCCTATACCAGCTTGTTTGTAAAAATTTTTTCTTGCCGACTAAAATTTCCCAGGAAAAATTGCACACAAATATATGGAAAATCTAAAGCAAGCGACACGAGACTTTAAGCTCAGGTACGGCCGCCAAAATTTGTTAGAAGAATCCTTTGCTGCTTTAGTTTATAATTCCTACTTTCTTTTGAACAGCCGTTCTACGATAATTATTCGACATTACATTTAGCACAAACACTCTGATTTCAAGACAAGATGGCTTCCAAAACCGTACGTGATAAGGACTATATTATAACTGACTGGATATTGTTTTTCCTCTTCGATTCAGGCATTTACGATTTGTTCATTCTCATCTGAATCAAAATACTTCTTTCGGAACTTTCTGGCTGCCATGAATGTAGAGAATCCCCACATTGCAGTCTTCGCACACCAGAGGCACACCACAAAATATCCTTTCGGATCCATCCCTGCCAAAAAGAAGCAAAAAAGCACCTCTTAAATCCGTATTTAAAGAAGTTATGTCGCTCTGTTTCCTATCTTTTTAAAAAGCTTTTAACGTGTCTTTGCATCAGCTGACTCATCCAAAAACAATGGTCTAGTTTTGTTATTCAAGAATAAATTTAGGCCATGAGCGAAACTCTTTCCTGGGTTGAGCTCTGTTGCTACGAATGGCAACGATAGACATGGATTGTAACTTGAAAAAATGGGCCAGAATTGTTTTTTCAATCTTTAACGCTATACTAAATCATCATGGTTAGTGACCCCTAATGAAATTTGTCAGTTTGTATCTTTTTTGGTACCGTAAAATTTCGAAAATAAGCCCCTCCAGATATAAGCCCCCCGGGGGCTTGTACTTGGAAAATTGCCCTCAAATACAAAGTAAGACAAAGTAGAAACGGTAAATTTACTTCCAACTACTGAAGGTTAGTCCAATCGATTTTGAAACTCAAATCTCCCTCCGTAGATAAGCCCCTCCGAAAATAAGCCCCCCAAAAAGGGCCTTTGAAAATTTTTCAGAATTTTACGGTAACTCTACTGGAGCGTTTAGGGCACTTAGTAATGACTTAAGCCACTTCGTAAGCACAAAATGGACCTAAACTAAAAGCAATATCCTTGTGTTATACGCCTTCTCCCCCATTTTGTACAAAGAACAAATAATGTTAATGAGAAAAGGGTTTTATGGAAATTTTGGACGTCTTCATTGAGGTAACTTTGATATGTTGATTCTATGTTAACATTTCTCGACAAAGTTGCCAATTTGTCGCATACAGCTGTACGTCGCGATCTGGTGAAGCTTGTCAACTCATTTCATCGTCCAATACATCAATATGATCACTGCAATCGCTGAAAATAGTTTAGCGATGCTGGCACCAGGAGAAGGCTCATCAACACACAGGTTAATCAGTCTTAGATGAGGTCAAGCCTTTATTGTGGGAGGTCATGCATGCCTAGAATTCGCTATGCCAGCTTACCCTTCTCATGATGTTTGACTCCAAGCACAATGTATGTTATGAGGCCAACAAGAGCAGCTATTAAACCAACGACGCCAATCCACAATATTATGGTGAACCTTAACCTTGAAATAGAACGTTCATACCGATCCCGATAAACCATGAAATGCAATCGAATGAAAACAATTGCAAACGCAGCCGAAACACCAGCCCAGACTGCTGCATTGTAGTTGTGATAAATTTTGGCGAAAGCGATGCAACCAGAAATTCCAAGTATTGCAAGCGAAAAAGCTGCAATTATCTTTACCACAAGACGGTACTTTTTATAGGCTTCCCACACTCGCTTTCGACGTTCACTCATTTTTGTGAAGTAAAGACATCAAAACTGCTTTGCACTTGCAAAGGTAAGCGCTTGCTTGTGCTCTTCTCACGTGATTTGATTTTTAATCCCACGTGACTTGATTGGCTCATTGAGTCACGCGATTTCAAGTTTAGTTTACTTTACTACATATTTCAAAGACAAGAAATCAATTCACACACGCTGGCCTTATGCATAGCTTGTTTTTAATCAATCGCTTTCGATTTCTAGTTGATCAATAAGCAGAAAACAAAAAACTTTGCTGTGTTTTGAAGCTCCATGATCACCGGGCTGCATAGAATCCCTGATAGAAAGACGTCACGTGAACCGTTAGAAAATAGTCACGCTTTTTTGTACAATGTAGACAAAATAGAACTGATCGGAAAATTGCCGTGATTGTAATGACATAGAATTAACTGAATCCGCTTCTTTTGGTCGAACAATATGAGAGATGAGTGTAGGATAAGTGTAAGGTATGAACCCTGACTGTAAATGACCTCTCTTTGCAAGCGTCATTCGTAACTCAGTAGATGGTGCTGGGAGATCACAGGTTCTAATTTTAAGCGCGGCTACCGAAAAAAAAATGATATAGACTGATTCTCTTAACCCAGTTTTCACCTGTATTAAACGGTCACCATGACGACAGTCTCGAGATCACCCCATATAATGGAATCCAATACAGTCTAGATTCAGTCCAGGATCTGGATTCTGGATTCTTCGTCAATGGAACTTGGATTCCGGATTCCAATTGTTAGCGGGATTCCAGATTCCTTGAGCTGTATTCCGGATTCCAAAACCCAGGATCCATCGTTCCACGAGCAAAAATGTGCCCGGATTCCGGATTCCAAATTCGATCTCTTTATTACATGGGGCGAGTCGAGAGCTTGCAAACCGGTCACGGCACTTCATACGTTTGTGCTTTGTCCATATTTTTCTCTCTTTCAGGTTTCAGTATTGGCTCCAGGAGACCGAAAAGAGATACCAAACCCTCTGAGGTTAGTTAGCGTTGGGACGAATACTAAACACTTAATGAACGATTCCCAGAAAAACAGACTGAACTAAAACTGAGCTAGAAAAAAATGCCAGAATATGCAAAAAATATTCAGTACTTAATGAATATCATCTACCTTTTGACGAGTGTCTTCAAGAAAAAAAAAAGGACTGCTTATACAGTCTCTTAACGGACACCTCTGTATACGGACACCTAGAGTTGGTCCCTGCCCTTCTTTACTTCCATTTTTGACTCTCCATTTAACAATTATTCCTCGAGTCCGAATGGGCTCTGAGTCAATAGCAGGGCTCTTGACTCAGAGGCCATGAGGGCGAGAGGAATAATTGTTTTAGTAAAATCCAAGTAGTTGGTCAAAAATATCGATACAAAACAACTTTAGCTAGCAGCACGCGATTCAGCCGCCATTGAGTGGGTTTTCAAAGCCGGCGCTTTTCGCTACTAGAGGGATATAACTTTTAGCCTGGTAGTAGCTCAACCAATCAGAACGCAGCATTGATAATAGACCACTAGTTGGATTTTACTAAAACGGACACTTAGAGCCGGTCCCAAAGGTTTCCGTCTAAGAGTGATGTCCGTCTTATAGAGAGTCAAATAAAGGGAGTAAAGAAAGGCAGGGACCAACTTTGCGTGTCCGTTTTACAGCGGTGTTCGTCTTATAGAGGTGTCCGTTAAGAGAGATCGAGTCGACTGTATTCCGAAACCGAGACGAGAAAGATAGGCAAATGTTTTAAAGAAGGTCTACGAGGAGGTAAGGTTGTTAAGAACTTAAAAATATTTTGAATGAGTAATAAAACAATTAGTGTATTAGGCTTTCGTATAATACGAAGAATCAGATGATACAGATTTCCGAGGCATTCCCGATCTGCGTTATTTTTCACATCATACTCCAGCCTCATTCAATAATTTACTTTGTTGATTATTTCTCACTACTTTCGATTGTCTTCAACACGAGTCGGTTGGAGAAATAGCCTCAGAAAACAGCCGACATTTGGCGATGCCACCACTGGTTTGCACCGCTAAATCGCGAAAATGATGTCTAAGAAACGAGCGAAGAAATTCCATACTGGTAACTTGTCAATACTCGTTTCTGGGTGGTGCTTCTGATTGGTTGAAGTTCTTTTCTCACGCGGCACGACCAATCAGAACCACTACCCAGGTCTGGGTAGTTACACGTCATCAGTGTGGAATTTCTGAGCTCGTTTCTTACATTTCGCCAGTGGTGGCGTCGCGGAATGTCGGCTCTTTTTCTAGAAAGAGGGGAATTGGCACCTTTATAAAAAGTCTATAGATTTACAAATTATAGACATTTTATTATCGCTGTAAAAGGTCAGTTTTTCCAGCGTCTTAGGCTATTAAGCAACAACAAGCGACGTTCATCACTGAAGAATAGAGCACTTTGATCAAGATGGGCTTTTAAATCGTAGAATTCATTCAGACGGAAGACACTGAGAAGTGTCAATAATATTATACCAACACAAACAGCTTATCATATTAAATATTGATATATATTTTGCAACTATAATATAACGAATATCTTTAAGACATTGATCTCTATTGGACTGATAAACGTATGATTCCATTGTACTATATATATTTAGGCTCTTGATTTAAAATATAGTGTTTTCTTATACCTTTACAGTTTAGATGATGTTATTTTATAACTCAAATTTCAATAACTACATTAAGTCATTTTCGTTAACATCATAATACTACTTCAACCAAGAACATTAAACATTTGTTTTTACTGACATGTTAGATAGCCTTGTAAACTATGAAACTCTTTCGAATAAAATACTTTATGTTTGATTTGATTTGCATTTTTGTGCGAGAAAAGACTCTCGTCTGTTATTAGTCATCTTCGTCTGTTATTTCTTCGTCCTCTAATGCTGACATCGAGCGAGTACGTCGAAATTCCGAAGATAATTCCCCCAAGTTTCGGAAGTGTTCGACGTCCACACTCGGATCCGACTGCGATCGGTTTATTGAATAAAAGTCTTGTAAAGAAGACATTGGTGGAGTCAGGTACTCTGAAGTCGAGACAGACGGAAAATTCAATCTCGTACGAACATCCCTTGGTAGTCTCGAAGAAGGCTCCACGATCAATTCTTCTTCGGGTAATTCCGAAGCAATTGGCTCGGTCGACAAACCCTCGACAAGTCCCGAATCGTTTCGCCGAGAAGCTAGTTTTGGAGCTTTTGGCGACGATTTTCCCCGAAACTTTAGAGCAGAACGTTTGCCTTTTCCTCTCGTTGAGCCGATCAATTTTTCCGCGGGCTCGCCATCAGGTTCCATTCTGGGAGATAATTTTGTTGACTTTTTAAATACACCTTTCTTACTTTTCCGTTCCGTTTTTCTCTGTTTTGAAGCCTTTGTCCGTGATAGTCTTTGTTCCTTTGTGTCCTTTCCCTTTTTACTTACCGTTCGATCGAACAAACGTTGTTTTGCTGGCGGGGGGCCTTCTTCGCTCCCAGGCTCATATCGAGGTCTAGCAATAGATACAACCCGAGGCTGCTTATAGGCCTGGGAAAGAGTTTCTACTACGTCACGTTCACGTGACGTGAATGTATGCGGTAATTTCCAGGAAAAGGAAGCCTCGGTAACTTCCCGCTTCTTTTTATAAGAGGTAAAAGGTGTAATAGGCACTATTCTATAGTACTCCTCGGGAGCTGGGGACAACTGAACGGATTCAATCGGCGGAGACTGGGTAGATTCTCTGCGTCTTGACTCAGTCTCCTCTTCATATATGGACGATTCAAAATCAGACTCTTCTGTCAAACTAGGCGGAAAATCGAAGGCGACTTTTTGTCCTCCTTTCCATGTTGCACCTCGTTCCTCGTCAGTGTACTCGCCAGATTCATCAGGAGGGCCCGGACCCGAGAATGAAAACTCGGGGGACTTAATAGGACTACTGGGCGCCGACGCATATCTATACCCTTCGGTACTGGATGCCCCCGGGGAGAAAATAGATTCCCAGTATAAAGCTGAACCGGAGTCACTGGCTAGATATGCTTTCTTGTATGACCCAGATTGAACGGCTCTGCGAAGCACATCCCACATTCTCTGAGAACTGACTTTTCTCCCCGTCACCTGCAAAAGAGGAGGATTAGAGTAAAATGGTATTTATGGTCAATCGAAAGCCAATCAAGAGATAGAATGGGAAGGTGTCAAGATCCTTGACCAGAGACGGTGGACATTAAAGAAAAAATCAAGGAGGCCATCCATATAAGACGCCAGCGTCCAACCCTAAAAATAGAGATGTGGGTTATGAACTTCCCGCGATTTTTTTGATTAAGTCACTTGACATCACTGAGCGTTTATTGCTGATGAAGACTGGGCATACAGTCAAAAGCTACAAGACTGGAAAGTCTGAAACTTTAAGACAACGTAAACGAAAGAACGAGCACAGCAATGGAAATTTGGAGAGAAGGTAAGAAAAACCGCATCGCTTTCCAGGGTGTTGTTTTTGTTCCATGTAACTAGACCACTTAGCGAGGGTCCATTCAAATTTCTAATGTCACCAGCTTTAGTTCATTTTATTCATATTCTCTAGTTTTCTCCAATTTTTTTTATTAGAATACTCTATAACGTTGACAATAAAAGCAATGGATGGAAACGCTAAAGGGAACGAGTAGCACCGAAATCTAAACATTACGAGATGTTGATTTGACTTCTCGTTTAGCTCGTTTGGGTCTTACTGAGTATTTTATTTTCTTCTTAGATATTGATACTAACCATTATTACTACTTGGCAAAGCTATGAGAAACAAAATCTCGCCTTACTAACCTTTCTTTCTCTATGTTTTGTGATATGTTCAATTTCACTATCGTCTTTTCCATCCTCGTCACCAGTCTCCAGATGCTTTCGTCTGCCCAACGTTTGATATATCTGCATGTATGAGCAAGAAATACAAAACGTCAATTTTGGAAAATTCTCAGCTGCATTATTTACTGGTACACATGTTTTAAATCAGTTTGCTTGTCTGTTTTAATTATTGCTAAAAATGCTTTTTCGAGTTTTTAAGAAGGAACGAATTGAACCTAGGGTAACATTTAACAATTATTCCTCGAGCCCGAATGGGCTATTGACTCAGAGGCCATGAGGACGAGAGGAACAATTGTTTTAGTAAAATCCAACTAGCTGGTCAAATATATCGAGAATAAAAAATTTTTAGCTAGTTGAAGCTAGACTTAAATCCTTTTTTGCCGCCAAAAAGCCCAAGCTTTTCGCTGCTAGTGAGCTATAACATGTAGCCTAGTAGTAGTTCAACCAATCAGAACACAGCATTTATAATAGACCACTAGTTGGATTTTACTAGGATTTAGCCAGGGCTAAAAGCGGAGCTCTCGATAATATTTATAGCTTGCTCAAACTAAATATAAAATCGTGTAATTCTAAAGGTAATGTTACACCAGACGATTCGCAACGAAGATTTTTAGCGCAACACAAAGTCGCAACATTTTTGCGACATTGTTTCGAATGGCTACAACACACTTTTTTTGTACATTTCTTTGCCGTTTTTTGCACGACTACAACGTGAAACTTCCAGAAACGTGCTGGTTACACGTTTTATGGAGAAAATGTCGTAGATGTTTTTGTTCACTGTTTTCACCGCCGCTCATTTTTTCCTAGGTGGCCGCTAGCATTTCTCATTTTCTCACCGCCGCTACAAATTCATGTTGTTCTTCCAACAAAGAATGGCTCCTTATATCTCGCTCTTCATCTACGTCGCTATTTTTCCAGTTGAGCTTCGGTGGCCTGTCGAGTATTTTCTCTTTTTTCGCTGTCTTTCTCTTTCTTTATATTCCAAATTTATGGACATGACAATTAATCTAAGCTTAACACTTTAGACAACACCGATACAGAAACAATTTCCGCTTTCCGTTTTTGTCTTTATTGACTCTTTAGTTGTCTCTGCTTCACCAGACGCGGGTGGTTATGCGATTTCCCACCAAAATAATATCGAGTTGCATTTGGGTTGCCATACCTGTTGATTGAGTTATTTTACATTGGTATGCCCGTGGTGCAGACGGACAGCGGACGGGCGTTCGGTCATGTGATTACCAAAATTTCTCGGATGGGATTTTTTTACCACATTTAGGGCTACGCCTGCTCGCGCTTCGCGTGCGCGAGGAGCTTCGCTAATTATAAAACTAAGCCGTAAACCCTTAGCTTCGCATATACATAACAAAGATGATTGGGGGAAAGTTTACCTTACGCAGGGGGAAAAAAAGAAATAGGTCAACAATAGCTTTGAGTTTTTTTCTATGGGATATTCTCAGGTCGTTTTACCTTTTGCACGACAAAGGAAAAGAAAACAAAGATTGAAAAGCTGTCAATAATACGCGAGAAATTTCCATCTTTCCATAATGGGGAAAAAATATCATAAATTTCGATCCTACCTCTTGATGACTGATAATGTTTCGACAAAGAAAAACTTCTCTGGTGAAATCAATGCCTTGTGCGCTTAGCTCAGCCAGAGCAAGAAACACGTCACCGATGGAAGTTCGGCGTGAATAGCTGTCATAGCGGCAGATGTGAAGATTGAGTGTCTGCAGTGCCATCTCTGACTGGGACAGCGGAAACTCGTAAACTTCCCTAGAAACAGAGAAAACCAAAACGGTCAATTGCTTCCAAGGTTTTCTGTATAAGGGTTTACGATAATTGTATTTCTAGCAGTTTAAAAAGAATACACATTAAAATAAACGTTAAAAGATCTTAACTAACAAGCTGATTATTGTTATTTTGTTTAAAAATAACTTTAAAACAAATCGTAAACCTAGCAGGGAATGTCACCCTGGCCTGCGGTTTTCAAGTGTTAGGCGTGCTAACCCACTATCTCTGAAGAAGAAGAAAAAGAGAGAGAATCTTCGCAGTAGTCTATGCATAAAATACCTGAAGCTGACATTGATAGTTGTGTCGTAAGGTTGAAAGGTGTGACTCTGAAGGTTCAGTGGCAGCAGATGAACATCAACATATGTAGAGATGGATTCGCCTTCCACTGGTATGTCTTCAGCTCTAATCAGACGCACAGTCAAAATAGATCTACAAAGAAAAAGTAAACGAGTTGACAAGAAATATATCTCCTTTTTAAGCGAATAAAACTGAGTTATAGCTCTCCGGATAAAATTAAGTATCCCTCTTCTATGAACAAAGAAATAAACTGTGAACATGTTACGATTTATAAGGATACTGTATTTTCATTGAGTGTAGCATGATACCAGGATATAAATGTGCACCTATTGCCAATTATTTTCCCTATGTCTGAAATTCTTTGAGGCACAATGTGTTTGAAAAAAATAAAGCTTGAATAACGCAACTTTCTCGATTAAATTCTACGATCAGTTTCTAATTAATGTCACCTTATGATGGTTTCTTATGAACAGCCTGAGACTTTCATTGTATGTGAAAATAAGGAGCAATGCTTTATCCTACAATGCAGTCAGTTGTGTTTTTCAAGCGCGAGCTCCTATGTAGGATTCCCTGTATGTCGTCGCTATCTTTGTTTGTTAAGGCAGAGAATGATTGCGGAGAATAGAACACGCGGACGGAGACGATTCTAGAGTAGCTGGCGAAATTTTACAGCACATGCCTCTCAGAAAAATCTCTTACAAGTGGAAACGATGAAAAACAGCAAAATTTTCAGGCCATGATTGGAAAAGCGGAAAGACGGGGAGGAGAGGTGAGGAGGGTTAGAAATACGCCCCTCCGTGTCTCCTTGCTCTGATTCATCCATCCCCATCATCACTCGACCGAATTTTAGTACTCGCGCCTCACCAGAAAACATTTACAGGTCATGCTAGAGACAGTGAATATCTCACCGATGTTGATCATATCTAAGGGCGAAGTAAAGTCTCCCTAAATCAGGATGATCATCGGATGACTCTTCTCCATCATATTCCTCGTCAGTCGAGAGCATTTCATCTGAAGACAGAAGACTCTGAAACGCAATAAATCACAATTAACCAGTCAAAAGGGTATTCTAAGGTAAGCAAATAGAGTGGATGGTGAGAAGATGAAATTCTTAATGCAAGTGGTTATAAGCCGGAATGAAAGTGGAAGAATTAAACGACACCGAGCTCAAAGACGATGCCTCCGTAAAGTGTCAACAGGACAAGGATAACGAATGAGAGTATCGCGAGGTAAGAATCCACTGCCAAACAAAAAAAAATCGCTCTTTTAGGGATGGAATGTGATTGATTATTGCCCATTCTTACAACTGCAGCCGGGACTTGAACATATATCCAATGGTCTGTAGCCGCAGAAACTTTCAATAGGAATATTCAGGGAGGTCAGTAGACGAATTTAGAGTTAAAATTAACAAGGACGTAAGTGAATTGGCTGGAACGACCTTAGAGGCGAAACATTTGAGACCTCAAGATTCTAAGACGAGGACGACTACGAGTACGAGATTTTCTCAATCCTAAGTAGCGCGTGAACCAGCGTCCGATCTTGGCGGGAAAACGTAAAAGCGTTCGTTATTCTACGACAGATTTAGGGTAACTTTTAGCGAGAATATCGTTGTCGCGGAAACAGGTTATCAAATGTTAAAAGTTTTATCATTTTGAGATCAGAGGGGGGTTAACCCCCTTCCATAAAAATAACCTTGCAAACTTTTCTGATGAAAAAAGCAAGATGAAGCTGTCCGGGGTATTTTTTTTAAGAATAAGCGGAAAAAACTCCAGCTCAAATGTTGTACGAGTAATCAGTGTAATCGTTCTCGAATGAATGTAAAGGTCTCTATTAGAAAGTAAAATAGGACGTACCCTTGGGAAGTTAGGGCGTGGCTGTACCGGAGTGATAGTTATTCTAGGCATAGTTTCTTGAGCATAAGCGGTGGCGACTTTCTTGCGCTCATTTTCTGCTTTTTCCTCCAGGTATCTGTACTGTACCTCCGTCTTCCTGGGGTCGTCCTCTGCGTCGCGCCTCTTCTTTCGTGACAGTGTCCAGTAGGTAGTCACGTACACGCCAAGCGCCACCAGGCACAGTAGCAGGACCGCGATGACAATCTCTAGCTTCTCCATTTTCTATAAATGTATCAACAAAGAAATAACAAGATTTAATAGCCGTTACGCACTTAAAAGAGGAATGAAGATCCTAGAAGGCGAATCATCCTAGTGCCATATGGTTTCTGTATTCAGTTTACATGCAAAAGGTTGTACTTGTCCCTAGCGCTAGGATCTTCCTAGCTGACAGGTAGGAAGATCGTAGTACCAGGGAAAAAACAGACAAAAATGGCGGCGGGTCGTTCAGAGCCTAATCACGGCAAGAAAAGGCCGACCATTTCGTTTGGCGTTACCACGAGCCGATTATTGTGATAATTCTGCTGAAAGGAAGTTATACACGCGAGTAAACAGAGCAGAAGGGCCCAAACTGCATTTTTGTTTTTGTCGGCCGCCATTTTTAATTCCTTCTCGAACCTTCTCTACTTAAGTACCACACGGACCGAAATTTCTGCATGTAAACCCAAAGTTAAGTTGTTCCGTCTTCTAGCATCTTCCCCCTCCATAAAACAACCTCTTAATGTATATGCACGTCAGAAGTGAATTTTTTACCACCAAGGTCAGCTTCGTTTCGGAAAAAAAAAATCATCTGTGTTTTAACTCTTGGCGCCAGGTAATCTTTTTATTCTACTGCCTTGAGAATTCATTTATGCAATTCTTCGCAAATTTAAGATAAATTTGCTCTCCTGACTTGAACATGCTTAAAAGCTATTAACATTATATCCCTCGCAGTAAAAGGCTGAATTAGGGTCGATGAGGTGTTAGCTTTGTCTCTTTCATATTTCTACCACATTTCAGTATTAAAT